AGAATTACCATGATGACTGGGGTTGTGGCTCAGTCGTAGAATGCTTGCCTAGCATGCATGAGACACTGGATTTGATCCTGAGCACCATATAAAAAAACTAAATAAACAAAATAAAGGTATTGTGTCTGTCTACAACTAAAAATATATAAAAAGCTACCATGCATTTATCTATGTAAAGTATTAAGACAGTGTAACTTTTCTAAGTGATATGTTCTAATCTGTAAAAAATGTTTTAAAATTATTTTTAAAGCATAACAAATAATTTTTTTCCTTCTAAAATATATTTATAGTTTTTGTCTAATTGTTTTGAAGTCATTTATGGTCATTCCATTTATTTGGTAATCTGAAATAACTACTTACTTTTTTGCAGTGTCTATCCATAAAAATTTAACATGATCCTGTTTCTCTTTCTTCAGAATCAATGTTATTTGAAAAGTTTTTTTCCCAGCATGTATTTAAGATATATACTGATCACAAACTTCCCTTTAACTAGGCTAAGCAATGGTATCTGGCTTCATGGGAGAAAAATAAAAGTGATCAGTTTGCGTATAATACCTTTTAAAACATATTGTTTTGGGGGCTGGGGTTGTGGCTCAGCAGTTGAGCGCTTGCCTAGCATGTATAGGACCCTGGGTTTGATTCTCAGCACCATATAGAAATGAATAACTAAAATAAGGGTATTGTGTCCAACTACAACTAAAAAATAAATGTTGAAAAAAGTATAAAAATATTGTTTTGTACCAGGGGTTGATCCCAGGGGCGCTTAACCACGGATCCAAATCCCAGCCCCTTTTTAATATTTTATTTTGAAATAGGGTCTCACTAAATTGCTTTGGGCCTTGCTAAGTTGTTGAGCTGGCTTTGAACTTGCAATCCTCCTGCCTCAGTCTCCTGAGTATAATAGATTATTAAAGAAAACATTTTTATAACTTTTATTGTGAAAAAATCCATGTAGAAAAAGAATAGTACGATAATAACTTACATATCTGCTGCCTATTAAATTTTGTCACTTTGCTCTATTGGAACTATCTGAATGTAAGTTGCAAATATTATATTGTTTAATCAGAAAATATTAGTCTCATGGTTGAAATTTCCTTGGCTGTTCTTTCTTTTTTTTTTAAATTACCTTTGATTAAGAGAAAAATATGCATCCTCTACTTTAGTTCACAGGAAGGAAGTAATTTTCTAAGTTCTTCCATGTTTAAAATGTTTTTTTTTTTATGCTTGATTTTTGAAGGACTCTAGACAGGATATAAAATAGTTGACTCATATTTTCTTTCCATGAGTTTCTTAAATATAGTTTTGTACTGTTGTCTTCCATTGTATGATGTGTGTTAAAACTGAGAAGTTTTTTTTTTTTTTTTTCCATTTATGTCTTACTGTTTTTGGCCAGGGTCCAAAGATTTAATTTTTTTTTAGTTTATAAAGTTCACTTTTTAATTTTTATAATACTCTGAACCATATTTAGTGTATCACTTGGAATTTTGTTCAAAACATGATATATATTTACGAATGGATGTTTCTGGGTCAATTTTCTAAGGTAAAGAGTGAAAGTATTCAATATAATGTTTCAGGTAATTTTATTTTAAGGAATGTCGAGGGCCACAGCCGAGTCGGGATGACGCATGGCATTTTTGCCAGAAGTAGTGGTGGAGAGGTGATGCCAAGGAGCCATTAAGATGATGACTTTTGAGTTCTCACGGAGTTCCCGTTGAGCTCTCCTGGGGATTCCTGAAGAGTTCGCATTGGTTGGGGAAGAGCCGGAGGAGGGATTTCCGGTTGGTGGTTCCTGGAGGAGCTGTGTGGCGTTCGGGAGAGTTCCCGGGAAGCGTGTGTGGAGTGTGCTGGTAGAGTTCAGAAATAAAGTTTGTTCCTGCTTGAGTGGCTCGTGATTTGTGCCCAGCCAGACTGCAGCAAAGGAAGTTTTCTTTTCTTCTTCTTTTTTTTTTTTAAATGGTTGTTCAAAACATTACAAAGCTCTTGACATATCATATTTCATACATTAGATTCAAGTGGGTTGTGAACTCCCATTTTTACCCCAAATACAGATTGCAGAATCACATCGGTTACACATCCACAATTTTACATTATGCCCTATTAGTAACTGTTGTATTCTGCTACCTTTCCTATCCTCTACTATCCCCCAAAAGAAGTTTTCTTAATGCTTAAATACTGGGTTGTGTTCAATTAATTTTCTTCTTTAAGGAATCTAATTATACATTTATTGGATTCTTGTCCACATTTGAAAGTTTTTCTTTGCTCTTTTAAAATATGTTTTGTTTAACCATATTCAGTTTCACCTCTTAGTTTCATATCCTGTCTTCTGTATCTCCTGCTTTTACTTTAGTTATCTTTTTTAACTTGTGTAACTCTTAATATGGGCTCTATTTCTTAGATGATTTTTGTTTGACTTCCATTTTATCTTTAATTTGGTTAGCTCCTATTTAACATTTTTTTCCTATTTTTTTAATTCTGGTATCCAGTGTTTCTTATATCTGCAGTTATATTTGCATGTGTGTTGTCCTGTTAGTGATGGAACAAAACAATGAAATACCTGTTAATGAGTGGCCTATGGTAAGTGGGTGGCACAAAAGTATGAGGCGGAAGTGCTAGAGGAAGAGGACTCAAAAGAAGAACTGTTATTCTTTTTTTCCTAATTCTGGCTTTTTAAGAAAAGCATTTCCTTTTGTTGGAAGGTTTTGATTTTGATTTTCTATTTTTATACTAAGTTGTTATGGTTATTGGATTTTTTGTTCTGTTCATGATTATTTATTTTAGATTTTTCTGAATCAGCAATAACTAATGATGTTATGCTAGGTGTTAGTTTGATCGTCTTACTTTATTTTCGGTTCAGAAAGGCCCTCTTCTGCCACACCAAAGTTCGGTTTCTTTAATAAATGGTGACTTTTTTGGTTGTTATTTTGGTTTGTTATCTTTGGATTCTTTGATTCTGTCTTGTTTATGTAGAACCTTATCCTTCCTAAGGCTTCCTTTTCTGGTTTTTGTTTTGTTTTTTGCACTTTTCCAAGCCTTCTGTTTGTTCTCCATTTATAATATTCTGACCTATTAGTTCTCCTCCCCCCACCCTTTTATTTTAGTGCAAGCTGCATAAAGGTAGGCCACTCTCCTTTGGCAGGTCAGTATTTGATGATGCTTATGTCCTTACCATCTCTAGGACCCTGAGGTGTTCCCCTGTTGCCCTCCCTGCTGTATCACTTTGATTTGGCTCAAGATTTCATTCTGCTGGTCTCGGATCTTTATGTGGACCACTTAATCCAGGAATTAGTATTCTTTCTCTTCACTATATTGTAGGCCTGGCTGATGGGTGTTTTTATTTGGTTGCTCTATTGATCTGCATGGGTCTTGGAGGCTAGGGAGAGAAATTTAAATTTGATTGGTTGCCATTACCTTATGGTATATGCCCTCCATGTAAAAGAAAATTGGTTTGAATATTCCTCTTAATCTAGGTACTGTAATATAGTTCCTCTTCAGATCTTATCTGTTGCTATTGAAACTCTTCTCTGTTTTACCTAAGTTCTTTTTTTTTTCAAGTTTATTGCCTCCATATTCTTTGATTAACGGATTCTTTGTATTCATCTTATTTTTGTTGTTAAACTGAATCAAATTGTTCATTTTCCATGATTTTTAACCGTAATAAATTACTTGGGAAATTTTGTTTGCAAACAAAATGATATTTCAGAGACATGGAGTCCAATAGTATATGTTTGAAAACATTTATCACTTAATTCAAATGTTTTGCTCCCTGGTGCCACTCACTATCCTCGCCGAATTTTTGTTCTTCTATATTATGTAGATAATACATGTAGTGCATTGTGAGTGCATAATGTGAAGAAATTAGACTTCTGTCATAATGATTTTTCATTTTCAGTTTATTTGTGAATAGTTGAGATAATAATCATTGTATCTGATTTCAATAATTTTTTCACTGAAAAGCTACTAGATATTATGCTAGGTAACAGAGATACAAAATTTGAGACGTTGTCATTATTGTACTCATTCTGTACTCATATTGTACTCATTGCCCCAAGGCAATGTGGAGACATACTATAGAAACTTAAAATACCATGGAAGGACTACAAGAGCGTAAACACAGGGTACTCTGCGAACTGAGAAGACGGTGGGACCAGGTTGTCTGTGCCTTCCTCTCCTTCTTCTTGCTTCCCTCACTAATGAACACTGTTGGGCACTCTGGTGGACGTTAGGGAAAAAGTGATAACAAGGTAGTCCACATTCTTTTGGGGGTGGATACTAGATCATAAAAGGGAATGAACATCTGGGATACTACTAACATGGTAGGAACTAAGTTTCTTGGGGAAGGTCATTTCTAATTAGCAAGTCTTAAATAAGTTAATCATGTGAAGACATGGGGAAAAGGGTTTTATTTTTCAAAGACTTAATGATGGGGATGTGGGAGTATAGTGCTTTCAAGATAAAGCAAATTGTCGAGTGTATTTGGAATGTAGGGTATGGTGGGAGACAGATGAAGCCAAAAAGATAGACAGAAGGGAAGTCTCAAAGGACTGTCCTTTGCTAGTATGGAGCTATGCTTAAGGAGTCACATACCAGGTTTGTCTGGGAGTGTAGTGATCAAATTGAGATTTGAAGAATGAATAGGTAGTTGATGCTTATAGCATACAGAGTGATGAACAAACTCACAGGCAGAAAGGCACAAGAAGACCTATCACTTTCTGGTAACACAAGTGACTCAGGATTTTAGGAGCATGAAATGTGAAGTGAAGAGTAATGGAAGATGAGACTGGCAGTTTGGCAGTGAGAGGATCTTGAAGGTGCATTTATGCATGCAAAGGAGTTTGTTTTGTATTTTATTTATTAGCGGACCACTAACATGTATTATATATTCATTCTAAAACTGAACTAAATATTGGTTTATTATAGAAAATGTTTTGATATAGCAGCTTAAGTCTATATTTTATCAATTTGAAAATTAATAAACTATTATTTTATTTTTATATCTTCAGATAGAAAATCCTCGGTACCTGAGACAGAAGCCTCTCCCAGTTTCTCTGGTAGGTGAGAATTCCACTGGATTTTTTTGGGGACAGATTTAAAAACCAATCAATCAATCAATCAAATACTTAATAGAAAATTGTATTGTCCCATATTAAAAGGCACAGTAATTTTTAAAAATTATTTCATTTGAAAGTGAATAAATCACTTTTTTTCTCTGATGATTTGGTATGGGTTTCAGGCATTTTAGAAGTTTACTTTTGGGGTGAAGACAAACCAGGTCTGAAAAATTATTAAAAAACTGTTACTCATTCCACAGATGACTCCCAAGTTCAGCCTGAGAAAATCCAGCAGTTTCCATGATGATCATTTTCTTTCTCGAATGCATGAGAAAGAGGTAGGATTGGGATATTTTCTATGCACCTACTTGTTAACATAGCTTTAGGATTTTATATAATAGGTGCTTTCTGATCCTAGATAGAATAATGATGCATGATAGGAAGAGATTATCTTTTGTACAAATATAAAATCATGATGCAGCTTATGCAGGTTTGTCTTTCAATATTTTTAACACCCATCTCCCATCTTGAGTGTCCCAGCTTCACTCCTACCAGGCAGGGATATGCTGAGGGCCTCTCTCCTAACTTTCAAGTCCTAATTATCAGGGGGCCAGAAGAAATGGCAATTTTTAGAAGCAGTATCTTTAACTTTAGTGAATCTCTTTACCCTTCTTTTATCTCAGTTTACTTATAACACATCTTTTTATTGTCACTATTCTGTTTATTATTATTACTGATCCTACTACTTAAGTTGATATGCTAAATTAAGCTATGCTGTATCAGTATATGATATAATATTCTGTTTTTTGATGAGAGTATTTGAGATTTAAACTCAGTGATTTGCCCTGTACACTATTCAATTGTTAGATGTATTTCTCATCTGTGGAATAGATCTAAAATAAGCCTTATTCCTTCTAAGTGAGACTTTGTACCTTATAATCTCTCCCAGGCTCTTGTAACTACCAATTTACTCTGCTTCTATGAGTTCAGTTGTTTTAAATTCTATAAAAAGTAAACATGTTGTACTTGTTTTTCTGTGTTTGGCTTGTTTCACTTAGCATGATATTCTGTCTCCATCTATGTTATAAATGATGATTTCTTTTTTAAGGTCAAGTAGCATTTTGTTATGTATGCATACTGCATTCTCTTTATTTGTTCATTGATGGACACATAGGTTGAGTTTGTAACAGCTGTTGTCAATAGGTGTGGCAGTGAACATGGGTGTGCAAATATCTATTAACATGCTGATCTCAAATCTTTCAGATAAGTACCAGAAGCAGGCTTGGTAGATTATATGAGAATTTCAATTTTAGTTTTTTGAGGAACCTCCATATAGTTTTCCATAAAGACTGTACTAATTTACATTTCCACCTCCAATATACAAGGATTCTCTTTTTTTCCACCTGCCTTGCAACACTTAATCATTTGTCTTTTTGGTAATAGCCATTCTAACAAGTGTGAGGCGATGTCTTATTGTAATTTTAGTTTGCATCTCCTTAATGGCTAGTGATATCATTTTTTAAAAATTTCCTTTGTGAAATGTCTGCTTAGTTCCTTTGCCCATTTTATAATCTAATTCTTTGTTTTTCTTCTGTGGAATTGTTTTGAGTTCTTTATATATTTTGGATATTATTCTGCCTTCAAGTGTATACCTTTTGTCCCATTACATAGTTCATCTCTGTTAATTGTCTCCTTGGCTGTGCAGATGTGATCCTATTTCAGGTTGACATAATCAATCCTATTTGTCTGCTTTTGCTTTTGTTTCCTGCACTTTTGTGATCTGTTCTAAAAAAAATCCTTTTCCAGACCAATGTCTGGAAAGCTTCATGAAGCTTTTTCCTAATTCTCTTATAGTAGTTTTACAGTTTCAGATCTTATGCTTGCCTTTAATCTCTCTTAAGTCAATTTGGGCAGGATTGGTATTAATTGTTCTTTAGATGTTTGGTATTATTTAGCAGTGAGGCCATCAGGTTTTGAACTTTTCTCTGTTGAGAAACTTTATTAATGATTTAATCTCTTCACTTGTTATTGGTTTGTTCATATTTTATTTTTCTTCAAAATTTAGTTTTGATGGGTTGTGTGTGTTTAGAAATTTATCCATTTCTCTAGGCTATCAATCTGTTGGTGAATAATTTTTCTTAGTGGTTTCTGATGACCCTTATATTTCTGAAATATTGGTTTCAATGTCTCTTTTATTTCTAATTTTATTCATTTGAATCTTCTTTACTTTTTCTCAGTCTAGCTAAAGTTTTGTCATTAGCATTTCTTGTAAGGTTGATCTTTTGTTTATCTTTTTAAGAATACATGAAAATCAGACAATAGAAAATTTTGGATCAGGAGTGAGCATATCAATGTTCATGACATGTGTCTTTAAAGAAAAATATTTAAAGTTGTCAGGTATTTCATCAGAGATTGTTTGTAAATGTGCACAGCATTATTTTTTCCTACACTCTTTTTGTTATTCTTTTTGGCTTACTGTAAGAATGTTTGTGGTATCCTTGAGAGATTTGCAAGTAAATATCAATTATCCACTATACATTTTTCTAAAATCATTTTGCATTATTAGTAGTCATTTTTGTCTTATTTTGATGAAGTGTTTTGTTCATATTTTTCTCCATCATAAAACATTTAAAAGTTTATGTTGATTGTCCAATGTGAAAGCTATCTTAGTTTTATCTTTTTTTTTTTTAAAGTTTCTGATTACAGTTGATGTGGATTTTATTGATGAAGTTTTTGAAGATAGAGAAATAAATATATGTAAATGTAAAATCGTCTAGAAAATCACACATAGAAATAAAAAATACTGTTAAAAAATGTCATGGTCTTTTATTCTTTTTTATATTTAGCCTGTAAGCACATTCATTTTCCTTAGAAAATTGGGATGATGTTATATGTTGTTACATATATCTTGAGTAATTTTCTTGCTATTAAACGTTGTTCCTAAGTATCCCCAAGTAACTTTCGTCACTCCTGGTGTTGGGTGTTGAGATTGTTTACAGTTTTTCCCAATATAAATAAATCTCAGAAGAATATCCTGATACTTTCATCTCTGTATTCATCTCTAAATATTTCCTTGGAACACTGAATTATACACTGTGATAAAATTGAAATGATGGGTTTTGTGAGTTTATTATAAACAACATAATTTCTAGAATAAAATGAAGATTTGGAAGCTTGTTGAAAACTGCATGTTGTTATAAGATACAAGTAAAGGATTTATTATGTGAAAATAAAAAGTCAAACATAATCAGGAGACATTTAAAGTCAAAGGAATCTAGCAGTTTAGATTGCCTTTTTAAATATAAAAATACTAATTTTAAACTGATTTTATTGTTATTGTTAAACATATTTTTCTCTTAAAGTTTTTCAGATTTTTGTTGTAGTTGGACACAATATCTTTATTTTATTTATTTATTCATTTTATTTATTAATTTTTACATGGTGCTGAGGATCAACCCAAGGCCATGTACATGCCAGGCAAGTGCTCTGCCACTGAGCCACAACCTCAGCCCTAGTTTTATTTTAATTTTTAAAATAAAAAACAATGCTTGTGTTGTTTTTATTATTTTCCTCCCTCTTTCAGAGATATTTCTGTAAAAAATTTTTATTCCTAAAGGTAAATGCATAGTTATATTATAAAATGTATTGTTTTCCTTTAGAAGAATGATCTTATGTTTGTTTTCTTAAATCAGCTTTTTAAGCATTTAATTGTGGACACGTTGATAAATGCTTTTGTGTTTTGAATTTAGTGAAAACCTTGCATGAGAAGGTTAAGTAGTTCTGGTGTGCCTTGTGAATGTTCTGACCTAAAAATAGTTTTGTTGTTGTTGGGTGATGTTTTTAAAACAATAAATAATCTTCTTTCAAGTGAGTAAATTTTATTTTTAAGTAAAATAATAATGCTTAAGAATTAAATACCTAATGTTTGCTTTCTTAACCCTAATATTCATTCTTTAGTAGTAATCATTGCTAAAAATTTAGTGTAATTTCTCTTTAAAATTGTCTAGGAATGTGTTTCATATAAATGAGTCCATAGGCTGTATTTTATATGCTGCTTCATTGCCTTTTTTTTCTTTTATTTTTTGGTATTAGAGATTGAACCTAGGGTCGCTTAACCACTGAGCCACATCTCCAGCCTTTTAAAATGTTTTATTTAGAGAGAGGGTCTTGCTGCATTGCTTAGGTCCTCACTCAGTGGCTGGGGCTGCTTTTAAACTTGTGATTCTGCTGCCTCAGCCTCTTGAGTCCCTGGGATTACAGGCATGTACCATTGCACCCAGTGTGCTTCACTGCTTTTTTGACTACAATATATCTTCTAATGAATTTTCCCTACTAAAACTATAGCCTTATTCTTTTTCATAGCTCTGATATGTTAAAAAGTTTTGAATTGTATAGTTTAAATGTGTGAATCGTGTGGCATATGAATTATGTCTTAATAAAACTGTTTGTAAAAAAAGGTTATGTCCGTTTCTACTCACATCAGTGGTGTATGAGAATGTCTTTCCTTGTATTGTCATCAACGGGAAATTATAAACTTGTTAAATTAACTGTAAGATGACAATTATCATTACTTACATTTATTTTATTATGATATCAATTATGCCTATTCAAGAATATGGGAGATCCTTCCATTTTCTGTTTTCTTTAGTTTTCGTTGTAGAGGTCTTTCACCCCTTTAGTTAGATTGATTTCAAGGTATTTTATTGTTGTTGAGGCTATTGTAAACAGCATGGCTTTACTAATTTTTCTTTCAGTTGATTCATCATTGGTATGAAGGAATGCAATTGATTTATGGGTGTTAATTTTATATCCTGCTACTTTGCTGAATTCATTTATGAGTTCTAGAAGTTTTTTGGTGGAGTTTTTTTGGTCTTCTAAATATAGGATCATGTTGTTGGCAAATAGGGATAGTTTTTCTTTTCCTATTTGTATCCCTTTAATTTTTTTCTTTTGTCTAATTGCTCTGGCTAGGGTTTCAATAGTAATGTTGAATAGAAGTGGTGAAAGAGGGCATCTCTGTCTTGCTCCAGTTTTTAGGGAAATGCTGTCAGTTTTTCTCTATTTAGAATAATGTTGACTTTGGGTTTAACTTATATAACTTTTACAATGTTAAGGTATGTTCCTACTATTATAAGAACATGATATGAATGCCGTATTTAGTCAAATGCTTTTTTTGTATCGATTGAGATAATCATGTCATTCTGTCTTTATGTCTATTGATGTGGTGAATTACATTTATGGATTTTCATATATTGAACCAACCTGGCATCTCCAGAATGAAAATTACCTGATCATGGTGCATTATCTTTTTAATGAGTTTTGGTGTGTGATTTGCCGG